AATTTAAAGTGCATGGATGGTAATAGTGTTGTAGAGCACTTGAGTAGCTTTCAAGAGTTGCTAAATGAGTTGTCTACCATGAAGCTTACACTAGATGATGAGGTGCAGACTTCAATTCTGTTGAGTTCCTTACTAAACAATTGGAAAACTTTAGTTGTCTCTTCGAATAATTCAGCTCCAAATGGTGTGATCACTATCGACATGGTGAAAAATAGTATGTTCAATGAAGAGGCTAGAAGAAAAGAACATGGTACTTCTAATGTTGATGCATTTGTTACGGAAAGAGGGAGAATCCAAAGTAGAAAAACTCATGGTGATGACAGTCATGACAAGCCTATAGGAAGATCAAAGTCAAGAAAATGGATAAAATGTTATCATTGTGGTAAGTTAGGACACCTTAAAAAGGAGTGCAGAAAATGGAAAAGAGAACAGTCAAAATGGAAAGGTGAAGAACATAAATAACATAAGGAGACTGCTGCAGTTGAATCTAATGCAAAGTATTTATTGCTTATCAAGAAGCATTTGCTAGCCTTTCATGCCAAGATTCTACATGGATAGTTGGTACAACAACTTTTGTTCATATTACTCCATGTGGGAATTTTTTTCATACAATACTAATGGAGATTTTGGTTGGATCAGGATGGAAAATGAAGTTAAAGCGAAAATCATTGGCACGGAGAATGTACATTTGGAAACTAGCATTGGTAGCAAGTTACTTCTCAAGGGTGTCAAACATGTTCCTGATATACGTTGCAGCTTGATTTCTGTAGGAAAGCTTGATGAAGAAGGCTATCATAATCATCTCGGAGATGGTAGTTGGAAACCTACAAAGGATTCTCTTGTTTTAGCTAGAGGGAACAAGACTCAAGGTCTCTACAGGACAGAAGCAAAACTAGTTAATGGAGATGTGAATATTGCTGAAAATGAAACTACTACTGAGCTATGGCATAAGTAACTTGGCCACATGAGTGAAAAGGGACTTCCAATTCTTGCCAGAAAGAGGCTCCAACACAATGTGAAAGGTACATCACTAATCCCTTGTACTCATTGTTAAATTGGTAAGCAGAGTTGCATTTCATAGATTTCCTACATCTAAAAAGAGTAAGATTCTTAATTTAGTTCACACTGATGTTTGCACAATGCACTATAAATCTCTAGGTGGTGCATTGTATTATGTTACATTTATTGATTGTCACTCTAGAAAAGTTTTTGCATATCATTTGAAATCTAAAGATCGGGTGCTAGAAGTACTTAAAGACTTTCATTTGAAAGTTGAAAGAGATACTAGAAGGCAGTTAAAATGTGTCAGGGCAAATAATGGTGTGAATAGATGGCCATTTGAAGAGTTTTACAGAAGATATGGCATCGGGCTTGTTCAGACCCACATGAACCAGTGCCTTTGGTGCATGATGAATACAAAGAGAATGTGCAAGAAGTACATGGGACAAATATGATGAAATCCTTACATAAGAACCAAACTTACATCTAGTGGAGTTGCCTAAAGGCAAGAGAGCTCTGAAAAACAAATGGGTGTTCAGATTAAAGGTTGAACCAAATAGCTTGCAGTCAAGGTATAAGGCAAGGATGGTTGTGAAGGGGTTTGGTTAGAAGAAAGGTATTGATTTTGATGAAATTTTCTCACCCATTTTTAAGATGTCTTCAATCCGAGTTGTATTAGGCTTGGCAGCCGGTATGAACTTGGTGATTAAACTTGATATGAAGACCACTTTCTTCCATGGTGACCTTGAGGAAGAAAGATACATGGAGCAACTAGAAGGATTTACAACTAAAGACAAAGAACGTCTTGTATGTCAATTAAAGAAAAGCTTGTATGGTCTTAAACAGGTATCAAGACAATGGTACGAGATGTTTGACTCCTTCATGGTTGAGCATAAGTAAATCACAACACCTTCTGATCATTGTGCGTTCATAAAGAAATTCTCTGATAGGAAATTTATTATTCTTTTACTATATGTGGAATACGTATTGATTGTTTGTCGTGACACTATGAAAATTAAGAAGCTGAAAAAGGTGTTGAGGAAGTCCTTTGAGATGAAGGACTTAGGACCTGCAAATCAAATTCTCGATATGAAGATCTCTCATGATAGGAAGAATGGAAAATTGTGGCTAACACAGTAGGCTCTCCACTTGGAAGTCATTTGAAGTTAAGTTCAAAGCAAAGTCCTTCAAATGAGAAAGATAAAGAAGAAATGAAGAATGTACCTAATGCATCAGCCGTGGTAGTTTGATGTATACCATGGTAGCACAAGGTCAGATATTGCTCCTTTCGTTGTATTAGTAGCTTTCTTTTTAACTCTAGAAAAGACCACTGGGCAACAACAAAGTGCTCCAGTTAGTAAGAGGGATCTTAAACTAAGAAATAGACCTTAGAAGCTAAAAAATGATATCCTGAGCAATTGCAATAATCCAATTCATTGATATTTCAGGTATACTAGATGCTATCACACATACAATCATACTCAATTCGATAGAATTGTTTGATCTCTGATATCTTAGAGGGACTTCTAAGACATGTTTTGTCTTTTGGCACCAAAGATTCTGAAGTACTTATTACTAGTACATGAATGCCTTTCTTTTTTTCATTTTATATGCAAGGTGCATTTTATATCTTTTTAATGGTGCTTTAAAAAGCTCTTAGGCGCAAAGTAGGTGCAAAATGCTATGCCTTGTGCTTTTTCCTTCTTTTTTTTGCATTTTTTTTTTAAAAAAAATTCACTCAAGGCGTGCTTTTTAAGCCTTTTTTTTTTTTACTTATTAAATAATTTCTAAATTAACTTAAAATTTTAAAATAATATTAACATTAGAAAACGCTTTTTTATTCCTTGGCCAAAGCTTGGCCTCGTCGCTTCGCTACGTTTTACTCTTTTTAGAATACTGCTTTATAGTTGAATTTTTCCTATAAAGTGCAACTTTGATATGAATATTTATTTGTAAAGAGCAATTTTAGCCTTTTCATCTAAATATTTTTTGTTCAAGTTTTGCCTTTTACATTTTTTTTTATTGAATATTTTGGCTAAGTTCTCTTTCTCGTTTTTCTTTTCTCACAGAGTGAACAAACAAATAATAATATTACAAAAAATACTATTTGTATATCAAGGTTGACACTTCGTTGTACACTCCACTCATAAAATGAAGGTCTAAGCGCAATAAAAAAACGTGGACCCCCTCTTGTGAGAGGAGTGTACACTGAAGTGTCAAACCCGATATACGTGTAGCTAGCAAAACTCATAATATTACATAACTTTAATGAACAAATGTGTTTGGGAAAAAAAAAAAAAGAAAGAAAGAAAGAAAGAAAAAGAGGGAAGAAGAACTTTTAAGACCAATTTGGAATTTCACAGATCATCATGACAGTTAGCGAAAATTAACTCGCAATTTCAACTTGTTTGGCAATAAATCCAATGAGAAATTTCCCGTGTCGCAATTTAATGGTGTCAGGTTAGATCTCTACCAGATTCCACCTACAGAGTGACCACTTGTGTAATGTTACTTAACTTTAGTTACTAAATAGGACTAAAAGATACTTTAAAGACCATCTTTTATTTTGTACAAACTTCAATGACCTTTTGTGAAATTAACTCATTAAACATTATTATTAAATTCACTGCCCTTTTTTTAATTATCATACATTTTAATAACTCTTCAATTTTTGTTCATTTTTACATTTATATCCTTAAATTTTTCATTACATTCTTATCCTTAACATTTTACTCATATTTGGTGCAGCTTAAATAGTTAATTAAAGTTTAAGCTAAAGTTAACAATTATTTTTAATCAAATATTTCAGAGGACCCTCAACTTTTATCAATTTTTGAAGCATATATTCTATCAACTTTTATTAAAATTTACAAAAAATTGATTTTTAGTTACGTAAAATATTTGCTTTATTAATTTATACATTCGATCTTTTGATAATGATTTTTGACCAAAAAATTCGCAAGGTAAGACTAAAGATATTTATTTGACTTTATATTTTTGAATAAGCAAAATAAATAAAAAATATCAAGTTTGAAAAATATTTACTTCACATTTTTATGCACGTAGCAGAATATTTGGATAAAATCGTTATCGAAGCTCGAATGTGCTAGTTTAATTAAATGTTCATAGTAAAAATACGATAAATAATAACTAAAAATATAAATATGAAAAAGAGTAAAAGTTAGATATATATACATTACAATTAAAACGTGACGTAAATAAATAAATGGAATTGGGATAGATACATAATTATCCTTACAGAACCATGTTACAGTATCGGAATAATTGACATAATGGCATATGGCACTCTATCATTGAACTGTTTAAAATACAGTCGTCTTTTCTATCAAATCAACTCTCGCAACATAGGATTATGATACTACTTCAGACATTATTTTTCGAGTAATACTATTTTGTGCTATTGAAATTGTAACACAATATGTAGCGATAATGTGACATTAAATGACGTAGATTGAGGTTATACCCCTATTGAAATTAACATGTTTGAGCCCCATTTTGTGGAAATAATGCATTTTGAGATAGCATTTTGATGGAGAATGTGTTTTAAAAAAATAATAATAATTTAAGTTTGTGTATAATATTATTTTATTAAAAAATGCGTAGTTGAATATAACAAATAAAAAGATGTACTTTTGAAAATAACAATACTCTTTTAACCCATCCTTGTAAGCATTACTCTGTGATCGAATCGTCCCTCGGGACACATTCGAGTTGGTGGAACAATTGCATTGGTGGACTCACAAACCTATCGTGGAGAGTTCGATTCTTGAAAGACAGCATCTTGAAAGGGGGATTTATCTCGAAGGCAAAGTGTTGGAAGACAGTGAAAAGAGCTCTCTTAGGGGAAGGAGTATAAGCCATGCAGGAATCTGGGAGCCAATAAGGACACAACCTACGATTAACTTCCTCAAGCTAATGAGGGGCCGGAGGCTTGAGGTCCAAGAATTAGTCTGACAAAGTTGGGAACCGTACTATGCAAATCCCCACGTTGCATACCCATTTCATTCCAATCCGACGGGCAGCATTCGTTTCCGCAGACAAATATATACACCCCTGAAAACCTGAATTCAGTAGTGAAAAAATCTCAGTGACAGCAGCGGGAGAAAACTTGAAATATACATCTTTCCTTAAGAAGGTGCGGTTCATATTTCCTTTTTGTTTTTCGCAAAAACCCTAAATCCATCTGTCCTAAATATCCTGTTTTTGATTTATAAATAATCGAGTAAGGTCTAATTGTATAGATTTCTATACCAATATGTATCGTTGCCAGTGAGTGTTTGACTTCGTTACTAGGGTTTAGGGTTTATGGTTAATGTGAAACTGTCTTTCGAAGTTGAATCTGTATGTGTGATCCCTCCAGTGTAAGGGAGAGGTTGTTTATATTTTCATTTTTAAAGTCTTGGGTGAAGAATGAAGTTGAGATAGGGAATCAATGGAAAAAGAACTGGACATTGTAATGGGAGACAAGAAGGTTTTTATGGGCTTTTTTGATAAGGTTTTGCATATTGTCAAATAAATTTGAGGTTCAGAGATATTCTGTGTTTTACTTAATTTTTCTACTCTCAACAATTATTTTGTCTTTGGATTTTTTGAGGGGTAGAGAGGAAATGGAATTGAGCTTTGAACTGGGGTAAAATTTGGGTTTTTAAGTAAATTTCATTTTTATAAGAAAATTTGGCAAATTGCGGTGGTCTTAAGCTTTGCGCTCTTCATTTGGGTGGATATTCATTTTCCCCCATGGTGAATAAATGAAGAACGTAACCGATTTGTGCTTTGAATATTTTGTATGATGTGATAATTTCATTGATAGTGATGTATGGGAAATTGATAATGTAGTTTGAGAGGAACTGTACTGGAGATGGTTTTTGTTGCAGTATTGTCTTATTTATGTTGAATGATTGCGATTAACTCAAGTTTCTTATTTCTTATTTTGCAGGTAGTACAATGGCTTTTGTCAACAGAATTGGCAATGTGCTAAAAAATACATTGAGCAGGCATGCTCAGTTGGAAGTATCGGCCTCCAATCCATCACTATTCCAGGCAATAAGAAGCATGTCATCTTCGAAGCTTTTTGTTGGAGGTGCAGGCCTCTCTGCTTTTTACTTGCATGTCAACTGCTTAATTTTGCTTCTTTTTTATTATTCTTGATTTTGTGGCAGGTCTCTCGTATAATATGGATGAAATGAGTTTGAGGGAGACGTTCTCCAAATGTGGAGAAGTGGTAGAAGGTACCTGCTGAATCTGTACAACTGACTAAAATTTGAATTTTATGTGGATTTCAATTGTTTTGTCTTTTGATTTGCTTCAATGCTAAGGATGGATACCCGAGATGGAATCTTGCCAAGACTTAACTTTATGTGTTTTGGAAAATTACGTAGTTACTGTTGAATGCCAATGTACTTGATTTTCGCTGGTCAATAAATGTTGTATCAAGGTTGCTATATATCGAATAGTGTATTGGTTTCAGTAGTGTTAGAATGATCATAAATAACAATTTCATGAAAGACTCTTGAAAATGATGAGCTTGTTCTTTTCATCATCAGTTGCTCTGAGGGAGGTTGTGTAAACGGGAAACACTTCTTGCTGTAATTAACAAAAAATTGTGCAAGATTAATATCAATACCATCACGTAAACTAGTTATTCTGCTGTTGTAATTGATGGTGAAGTTTTGATCAATTAAACCTCCTTCAATATACAATTGAACTGTTGCAGCTAGAATAATCATGGATCGTGAGACCGGTAGGTCCCGAGGATTTGGCTTTGTGACCTATACCTCAACTGACGAGGCTTCCAGTGCCATCCAGGAACTTGATGGCCAGGTACTTGCACGTATTCTCACTACTCTATAGAAATATTAGTGCAATTTTTGTACATTGTACAGTAGCTGAATAAGGATGCATCCCCACTATTGCATAAGCTCATTCAAATGCTATTTTGACATTCAGCAGAAATGAAAAATCCCTTTTGATGGATTTTAATAGACATATTATCTCTTCTAAACAAAACGAGGTGCTATTCAAGATTGTTCTTATAAAAGGGTCAGTGTCATCTCCAGAGAGTTGATGTATCCTGTAGGAAATATTTGTGAACGATTAAATCATGCAAATAGTTATCAGGTTTCTAGCGCCATAGACTGGTATAGTCTAAAATCTTGATGATATAGTCGTATGAATGGTAAAATACAAGAGAATATTCCAAAATATTCAATAATAAGAGTTTTCTAAAGGATTTACTTTATTAGAAATTAATATACAAAAATTGGGAAGCTCTTCCTTTGCCTTGAAGGTATCTTTCCCCGTAATCTGACCAAACAGAACTAAATGGGGTGTTAGTTATAGTATTGAGATCTGAAACAAAGGCAATAATGTTTAAGAAACATTCTCTGAGACCACTACACTTGAAGTTGCTTCCTATTGCTTGAGTTGAAACTAATTATAGATTAGTAAATTAGTTTTTCTGACTTGTAACATCTAATTTTGCATGTGTTCTCAGGAACTTCAAGGGCGAAGGGTAAAAGTGAATTATGCAACAGAAAGAACTCGGGGTGGGGGTTTTGGGGGTGGATTTGGTGCAGGCAGTGGATTTAACTATGGTGGTAACTATGGAGGCTCTGGAGGATATCAAGGTGGCAATTTTGGAGGTGGTGGTGGTGGCAATTACCCAAGAGCAGACGGAAACTTTGGTGGAGGGGGTGGATATGGGGCTAACAATTACCCCAGTGGAGGAGGAAGTGGATATGGTGGCCACAGCAGCTATCCCAGTGGAGATGGGGGATTTGGTGGCAGTAACAATTACGCCAGCGGAGGCGGTGGCTATGGCGGTGAAAGTAGCTTTTCCTCTCCTGGATATGGTGGTACACTTGGGACATACGCCGAAGATCAAGAACAGGGTGGAAATGAAAGTGGAACTGGAGCTGAAATTAACGATTTTGCTGATGATCTGGATGCAAATGACAGGGATGACAATGATGAGCCGAATGATTATGCCAACACAAGGCGCTGAATCCTTTCAAATGTTCCGTGAAACAGCAGTATTATAGGAGCATCCTCTAGAATTGAAAGAAGTTAATACTTATTCTGCTTTCAGTTTTCCCTTCTTGATGTGACCGGGTTATTTCCACCCGTGGTTCTAACCAGTTAATAAATGTATTACATTGCATGTTCGTCTTTTTATTAGAAGAGAAAAAGGTGTGATTTAGAGGGAAAAAAAGAAACAAATATGCAATACGTCGCCGGATTTTGTACTCCCGAATTTGGAAAAGCTTTGGTAGTAAATGGGAAGAAAACAGAAATTTTGTTCGACCGGTCTCATTTAAGATCCTATAAACCGAAGAAAGGTGCGGAACCGATGCTTCATTATTGTATCAAACAGAGAAAAGAAGACACGTCTAGTTTCATTTCTTTGGCATCTGTCTACGTATCCATAGGAAGAAAAATGCTGTGTAGGTGTACACTTAGTTTGACAGTCCTCTAATAGGGTGTGGGGCTGAGATTATTTATAATCGCAGACCTCATCCCCTATTAGAGGGCTGTCAGCCATGGCCCATGGTGTCTAGCATCTCTCCTATAGGAAATTATCTCTGTTGATGAACACGCAATTAAGACAACTGCGTTTTGCATATTGCTCTTGGTGGGTTTTTTTTTTTTCTTGAAAAAAAATATTATTTTAAATAGTAAATTTTTTGAGGTATAATGATAAATAGGCAGGCAAAAAGACAGGGAATAAAAAACAAACTGATGTGTCAATATGAAGTTGGCCGTTTTTTTTTTTTTTTTCAAACTCTCCATTTATGTATCGACACGTGTACAGTCTATTTTTAACCCTATATTTCACCATTCTTGTAGCAAAAATGAGTAGTTAAATAGTAAAAGAAAAAAATTTAAATTTATGTTTAGAATATTTTATTGTGTGGATGTGGTTAAAAATGAATAAGTAGAAAAAAGAATTTTGAAACAATGAGAGGCAAACGGAAAAATTTTAAATTGACCTCTGTGGTAAGAAATGGATGAAGTTGTTTGAAGATGGCCATTCTTCTTCCTAGATGATGAACAAGGCCAGCGTGGCCCTTTTCATCTAGCACGATCCTAATCAAAATAACTTTACACGTAATTTCAACATGAAAAGCTGGAAAGAAAGAATCAATTATGTGCAAAATATTATGGTTTAGCTCTCAAGGACTTCAGTGAATCGAGGGAAAAAAGTTATTGAGTAAAGAAGCACTTTGAACAGCAGTAATTGAAGATTATACACATCTCCAATGAATTGGGCCAACTACATAAATGCTTTTATGTTTCTCAGTTAGGTTTGATGTACAACGCATGAAATTCATTTGACTCACGTAATTGCTAAAGACCGACCAAAAAACTCGTGATTATATATACCTGATGCACGGACACTTCATCTGAAATGATACGTCCATATTACGTATCGAACACTGAAACTCATTGAACACTACTACTATTATTTTTCTTCATTAAAAATATTATATAGTTTTAACTCAAAATTAATGTTAAGCAACAAATAACTACTTATATTTAAAATATTTAAAATAAGATAAATTAATAATAAGTATAAAATTAAATTTATGTTATATAAATAAAGAATTTTAAAGAATTTAATCTACTTGTCAATGATGGACTGTGTTAGTACTTAAACGAAAAATTATGTGTCAAGTGTATAACACGCATCATGTTACAGGTCTTCTTTCTGTTGCATCATATACGTACAAAATGTAACATATCCTCCCTGTCCTAGCAGCAGCCAAATACCAATAGAGGTAAAAATTAACTACCTCAATTGAAGGAGAGCAGCAATGGATAAATTATCCTTTTCCAAATATTATATTTCCAGCCGTCAAAGCTCAAGACGAAGAACATGTACTTTTACAAAGGTCTCATGCGAGTCATATTTTAGACAACCCAGAAAGGTTTCGGTGCACTTGAAAGGCTTTTAAAAGGTTTCTCAATGTTTTCCTCGAGATCGTCATCGTCATCATCTCCATATTCCATAAGCTTGATTAAAGTATCTACCCCAACAAACACAAAGGAGAAGAAAATTAAATAAACAGATAAAGGCACCACAAATTTCGTCTGCTGCTAGTAGAGAGAAAAGCATGGGACAAGAAAACTTTCCCAGCATATGCTCAGGAAGCCATGTCAAAAAAATTTAATATAGAGGCGAGAGTGGAAGTACCAGGGCTGGGTTCAGGTTTTGAGTTATGCAGCTTGCTGTTGGTCTCATGAACTTTGGGAGTTGAACTGAGCTTCGGCGGAAGCGGCGGTGGAAGCAAGCTCTTGAGTGGTGGTGGAGGCGGCATACTCTTGGGAGGAGGTGGTGGTGGCATACTCTTAGAAGGGGGTGGTGAAATTACATCAGGGGACGGCCGGATCAGCTTCCTTGGAGCTGGCATAATTGGCACGTCTTTTGCACCTACATGTGATGTTAGTTCACGTGGCATTTGAAATTCTGATCCCTGTAATTTATTCTGGGAAATGTTTAACAATATCCCATATAGTTATAATATATTATATGTTGCCAGTATGGGAAAAGAACAACTTTATAAAACCTAGCAAGTGTTCATCAGAAGTTCTGCATCTGAAATATAAGTGTTGGGTTTTTGATACCCAATAAATCCCGGATTATGATGTTAACGTGGGTTAATATTATTTCATAAGTATAGGCCGATGAATGAAATAAGTCCAACAATCAAGTCCATGAGCTACACGCGGCCCAATTGTATTCCTTATGGATGGCTTGAATTTTGGCCCGTTTACCCCTTTAATGGCCCAACTTAAAGCCTAACCCTAGAGAATATATATGAATATAATCCTAGCCTCTTTGATATGATAATTGTGTGATTTTGAGAGAAGAAACTAGTGAATCCCGACTGCTCCCCTTTTGTGTGAGAAAAAGGTGTTCAAAAGTGTCCAAAACGCTTGTATAACGTGTGCAATTGGTAGTTCTTTCATAGTATACCTTTGTGGTGTCTTCTCCTAGCCTTTGTGGCCATAAATCAACATCCCTTTCTTGTCCTACGTGGGTAAGATTGTATAGCAACCAAGGTGAATCAATTGGTTGTGGTTTGGAGCCGTTTGGATTGGTTGTTAGTAGAGAAAGGTACGTTGGACTGAGCCTGGAAAACCACCGTTTGAAGATCTTTTGAGAGAGCTTCCGCAACAATTGGTATCAGAGCTTCAAGGTGAAGGTTTTGGCTCGTGAAATCTACCAGAAAATCGTCCAGAAAATCGGTAGAAACGCAACAGAAATCAGATCGAAGAAGCTGTCCAAAAACTGTTAAAATCAGTCTCTGTTTTTTGTGTTTTCTGATCAATCCAGAAGGGGTTTGGGGAAACGGAGACCATTGGCGTGACACGCAGGAGGAGGAGAACCCTGAAGGGTGGCACGTGTAGGTAGACGGAGGCGCGTGTGGTGGCGCGTGAGGCCCACGCGCAGAGAAGAGAGGCCGCGCGTGAGGTCGCGTGAGGCTGAATTTGGAGAAGGTCTCTTCAGGCAGTTTGTTCCTCATATTATTTCTGACATTTTTGTGTTGGAAGTTTTCTGTTTCAGGGTACACAGTAAAATCTGGACAGCGTTGTTCTTCGGGCGTTCCGGACTTGATCGTGATTTTTTGGTTGCTGCAGTTTTCAGAGACTTTAGGACAAATAGTGAAGTCCTAAAGTGATGAATTCACGTCTCGATATTTACGGACCTTCAGACGTGGTCCGCTCGGTATCGTGTTCTTTGTTTTTATTATTGCAGTTGAAATAAATGTGTAGAATATTTTATTTTTTGCATTAGAGGTCATCGTGTGGGGTGACATTAGGTTTGGGGTTACCATGAAGGGGTAACCATTGCCTGTTGCTAGACCTAGGAATTATTTGTTAATTATTTGCCTTAAATTCTTTGTAAATTTGCTGTCAATTTTTTCTACATTATTAGAATTGCATGTGGCCTTAGGAAAGTTTATTGGACTATTCTATGTGAATTATGTTCATACTTTGTTTGTGGTCATTATTTGGCATTGTTGACAAATGTGGGTCTAAGGTAAATGCAAAAAATAACATATATTTTAACTGTGGTAAAATTTGGACATAGTTGAAAAAGATTATCCTAAGATGATAATAAAAGGAAAGATGAGAATAGAGACAAGGCGAATATGACTTTAGGGTCGAGTAGTGATCCTAGTGAGGTTTATTGAGAGAATAAACCTGGTTCTTGCATTGCATCTGTGTGTAATCATTTCTGCATGTATATGGTCACTTAATTCTGTTGCGATGTTGATCTTACACTTTTAATATGTTTGATATGTGTACTTACATGAATTAGAGTGACTTATTACTTTGTGTAATATGTTTACATGCATAGTGGATTAAGTTTTGTGGCATACTCAATTTGCTCTGTGAGTGGTGTGAAAGTGTGGTAGTGAGAAGAAAGTTGGGCAGCCGTTTTTCTCCTTTATCTTTGTGAGCCTGTGTGGTTTGTGAGATTATGTGAGGCAGCCATGTTAGGGTTATATTCTTCCTCTTTGTGAGCTAACCGACTCTTTCTTTGATTCTCTTTGAGAGTGCCACCTTCACTATTTTCTTTGTGAATTTTTTGGGAGCATTAGGGAGTGGATTAACCTTTGTGGTCACCGAAAGGTGTTGTTTTGCCATAGTGAGTTTGAGATGTATTAGCAACGAGTTGGATGTCTTTTGGTGAGGTGGAGTATAGATGCCTAAGGTTACATGGTGGTTTGTATCGAGGGATGTAGAGTGTGACATTTGGATCACGAGTGGAGATGTGATCAAATGTCTAGGATCCTTTATCTGGAAAGAGACCCTGATAAGGTGGAGTGTGAGAGAGACACTTCTATCACTTCTGTTAGGTGGAGACCCATTATCCACGTAGGTTGGGAGAAGTGATGTGGAGATAGAGGATTATCCCGTGGACTTAGGATCTATTGTGACTCACCAGTTAGACATGAGTTGAGTGATCTGTCTAGTGAGCGTGGTGGGCGATGAGAAGAGATATGTGTTCTCGAGGTGTGAGCAACACGGAATGGGATAGGATAAGTGTGGTGAGATCTTTTCTTAGGGTCATTTATGCATGTGTTGCATAGGTGGTTGACCGTGGTTTGATTGACTTGGTGTTAATCTATGGTTCTATGTGAACATGTTTCTGAAAAGATCTGTGTGTGTTATCCTATAGTATATTGTCATCGCATGTGTATTTGCTCTTGATTGTTTACTGTTAAATATTTGCTTCTACTTGGGTGTTTTTTAACCTTAGCCCCAGTGAGTACATGGAGCAGGTATGGTATATGTTTCAAGTTGGAAACACGAGGTAAGGTCTGTGATCCAATTTTATTGGCTACCTTGATTATGCAAGTATTAACTGTGTGTTTTTGATTGCTTGCAGATTTATTGGGCATCAAGGTGGAGATTTGTTGGGTTTTTGATACCCAATAAATCCCGGGCTATGATATTAACGTGGGTTAATATTATTTCATAGGCATAGGCCGATGAATGAAATAAGTCCAACAACCAAGTCCATGAGCTACACGCAGCCCAATTGTATTCCTTATGGATGGCTTGAATCTTGGCCCGTTTACCCCTTTAATGGCCCAACTTAAAGCCTAACCCTAGAGAATATATATGAATATAACCCTAGCCTCTTTGATATGATGATTGTGTGATTTTGAGAGAAGAAACTAGTGAATCCTGGCTGCCCCCCTTTTGTGTGAGAAAAAGGTGTCCAGAAGTGTCCAAAACGCTTGTATAACGTGTGCAATTGGTAGTTCTTTCATAGTATACCTTTGTGGTGTCTTCTCCTAGCCTTTGTGGCCATAAATCATCATCCCTTTCTTGTCCTACGTGGGTAAGATTGTATAGCAACCAAGGTGAATCAATTGGTTGTGGTTTGGAGCCGTTTGGATTTGTTGTTAGTAGAGAAAGGTACGTTGGACTGAGCTTGGGAAACCACCGTTTGAAGATCTTTTGAGAGAGCTTCCACAACAATAAGCAAATTACATACATGTGGGGTGAAGGCACTCAGACTACGTTACGGTACAGAAATTGCAGGAATTATAAATAGAACTTTAGACTATGTTCCCCTTGACTCTATAGACAGTATGGAAAATAATGATATTCATAGTCAGCGATTACAGTAGTCATCATATGTGCCAGCTTGTTAATTGATGCATTAATTTCCTGTAATTCTATTACCTCAAATTACAAACTAATGTCTCAAATAACAAGTTGTCATGTAAGGATGACTAATGCAGTCACTAATTATGAAAAGCATTACTCTGATATGGACCATTCAATGTCTGTTAGTGTTATATAATCTGTTATTCATGGCTCGCATATAACTTCTAGTTATCCCAAAGACAATGGTAAGAAAAGGTAGCAGGTGGAAGAATTGAAACCTAGAAAGATGTGACTTTAACAGTAAGATTGGCAATTGGAAACAACTAAAGCAGAAACAGGTGCTCAAGTGAATGTCATGCGCACATATCACAGATCAGCTATAAATAAAGATCACAAAATCCTGATTCGGCATGAAAGAAAAGCAGTGGAACAGCATGCAGCCATCCCATGCACTTCCAAGTCAGAGAACCCTGTGAATATCAGCCTGTAAGCTTCATACAAGGTCAGAGAAAATACCTGGAATAAGAAGTAATAAACATCAGGACTGAAATAACAGTGCATTCATTTATTAATAGAGTGACAATCTTAATTTAGATAGACAAAGTTTTTACGATTATGTAGTAGTTATTAGATACACACCTAGTGCAGAAAATCATGTGCGTACATTGACTTGCAAAATAAAGAGAAATAACAATTAACATAACCTACTGTCAGTTTCAAAGCATGAGCATGAGTGGTGCAAAAAATAATACAGTAGTGTGGATCAACCAATACCAACAATAAAATAACAAATTATACGTTACTAAAAATTCTCAAGATACATTTTTAGGGACCGACAAAAAATGCGAAACAATACACCGAGTAGCAGCCTTTATATACTATCTTCAAAGTAATCACTAAAGCCATAAAATCATGCCGTCTAATCGAAAGGTAGATGCTGTTTGTTACCTATGTAGTCCCAAAACATATTTATTGAAACCAAGACAAGATTATCAGTGTTAGCTTTGGCCTGCCTGCATGACATTCGAAAGCAATGGCTTCCCTAAACAACTTCATAGTCAAGGAGGCACTTCACCCTCATTATGAGATTAAATCCTCAGCTACCAGTAAGTCTATTTGAGATAACGTAATTCATTTACCATGACAGAAAATTAGAATTTCCCTTACATAGGATAACAGAGAAACAAGTACCTCTTTTTTCTGCAGAAGGCAGAGGGGCATGATACTGGAGTATCGGATAATTAAACAGAAGGCTTGTTCCAATATATTTGAAAGGATACATCAATTATGGCATATTCACAAATTTAAAATGAAAGAAAAAGGGGAGGGCAAACCAATCCACTCCCTCTCTAAGGGGAACCCTAAAAAGTGCTTCACTAATAGCGTTTTAGATTACAACAATTGTGTCTTCAACCAAATGAAAATGCAACTTATAGCCGTACATTACAAACTTTCACCAGGGATTAAATAAAAACAGCTTGGAGAGCTAAACTAACAAGCTACACTCTCTTTGTTTATTTCAAGTTTCAATTTGTTATTCCCCGAATTGGCCAACTTCAAACCACATAAAAACTGCATGGCATGCCGTCAAACAATTCCTACACGCTACAGTTAGTTACTGAAAGTTAACTATCCCAAGGGCTTAGAATAGTCCATGCTTTTGTTAAGCTTCCGACTGATTTCGCAGATTTTAATATGGACACGGGGAATAAGAACAGTAAATGAATTTGTATTTCTATTTCTAAATTGAATTGCAATGGAAACTGAAAAGAAATTACAAAGTTTAGACGAGCATTTGAGAGGCTCCACTCTCTCCCATACTACTCTCCAAAATACATGAACTTCCCAACTACACCTCCCCCTACTTTAATTAACATAAATGGAAATATTAATGTACATTGGGGCATATCAAGCTTGTGTTTAACTATCTTGTGAGTTCCTTCAGCAGACAATGAAAAAGAAAAGTAGACCAATAAAATAATTATAGTTTGGTTCCTCTAATCAAAACCTTGAAGAAGTTCAAACCCAATGCAATTCATCAGGTATAAACATTATAATATTGTTCCAATTTTTGTTGCTAGGCAAATATATGATTAATACAACTGTTAGAAATAAAACGCCTAGTGTGCTAGTCATATGAAGACAAGGGAAACATCTTAACCCTACCAGTCCCCAAAGAAGTGAAAACTATGTCTAGTCTAAAACATGGTAATCACTGATACCTGGTGGGAATTTGCTGGCCCTTTTGAAGCAATGGATAGTTCCTGAAACTTCCGTCTCCGAGGGGGACACTTCTCCTCAGAGGGGCCCACCTTTTTAGTTAATTTTGCATTTGCAGATGTTGTTGGACCAACTGCAGCAGTAACAGGAGAAGTTGACTGTCTAAGGGCTAAGGCAACTTGTTGCAAAGGCTTGGCTTGGGGATATATCCCTTCATAACCAATAAAGCTTGTTCCACCAATCAATGAAGTGCAAGGATGGCAAACAATGCTTGCCTGAGGCATTCCTCGATTTGACAACCACATAGATTTCAATTCTGCTCCATGAGAAGCATCATCAGTTGCGTCAACTGAAGAAGTCAAACTGGAAGCACCCCGTTCTTTAAGAATTGACTCATTCCCAGATTTTGGACTTCACCCAGCAACTGAGGTGAAGGTGGGACAGCAACGTACACTTTACATGAAGAAGACCTGTAAATACAGAGATGCAAGAGGCCATAAGTCATCCTGTGGAGTAAGAAATAGCTTGGGGTCTAAAATATACAAGATACCAAGTCCTTAAAGATGCACAGAGGGCATAGAAAAGAGATTAAAGCACTGAAAGAGGTATTTTTTTAGTTCTAAAAAAAATGAAGAATGAAAGAAATCCACATCCATTCTTTGTGTGTATGTGCTTAATGGGACCATTATTTTTTGATAATTTGATCAATTAGCATTGTCGCTTATTTTTCTTTTGCTATGTAAATTATTCTTGGAGTGAAGGATGGATTAGGGATTCACAAAACAAGGCACACAAGTACACTTTAAAAAACCAAGTGTGTCTCCCACCTTAGAGATTGTAAAGTTAAAAATTACATGATATAAACATATTTATGTAAATCCAGTAACAGCTAATAGCTAATAACCACATTGTACCTGTTACAGGAAGAACCAGATGCCATTGAAATGAGGCATGCAAGTTTCTTCCAATCTACGATCATTTTACACATCTATTTATTTTTTTAATACATCAGTATAAACGAATCTCATTACCTAGAGGCACCACATTCTGCACTTATCGTGTCCAAAAGATTTTCAGCCAAAAGTTTTGCACGTTCAAGACTAATTGGATCATTGCCCGACAACAACGAATGCAACAGTTGCTGTGCTTCTACAGGGATAGCAATTGCAATTAATATTTTTAACAAAGATCAGGACAACCAAATAGCACAACACGAATGTGATATACGACAAAAGACTACCTTCGTCCAGTGCGTTTTCAGAATTCCCAGAACCATGTCCTCTTAGTAAGACAGTGGTTCCTGTTTCACTCATTATATGGTTTATATAATGGTCCTGCATTTACAAAAGCCAACCAGCAGCAACACAAAAGAATCTCTCCAAGTTGTATGGAGATGTTAGAGAAGTTTCAGACATTAGAATCTCTAATTATCACAATAACAAATGTTAATATTAAGTCAACAAGCAGTATCATGCGTTCTTAAAAAACTAGAAAACAGGAAAGAAGCAATGGCTGAACTGTTGAAGATCAATGGAGGGAAGATGACTTGAGCTAGTAAGATGAAAGCCATGAGACCATTACAACACGGCAGAAAGGCCCACTTTTTCAATAGAGATATAAAATGGTGTCCATAGTTTATTAGAGCTATATCTATATTAATAGATTTGAGATCCTAATCAAGAAAATTTCTAATGGAAGCATTCGGTTGGGAGTTTTAATTTTGCACTGATAATAAAGAATAAAGTGATGTGCATCAACAAGGGAAGAAGTTCCAACTGAGCTACCACAAAACTCTTCCAAGCCATGATTTTTTGAAATGGACACCTATATAAGGGCTCCCCACTTCCCTCTTGTAAGTGCTAAAAGCAAAAGAGAAATGATATGAAACTTTTTTTTTTTTTTTTTTTTTAAATCAAACATGAGGAGTATAGCTCATTGCTGCTGACACAAGAAAGCATGGGTGAAATTTTCAACAAAATTTTGCAAAAAGATTTAATGAACAGAAATAAAGAAGTCAGTCACATTTATGGTACATACGCACAGTTATTCATTGACGTGCTTGATCCTCCGAGAAAATTTCATTTAAGGTTTGATGAACACCCAGTCTCCAAAACATGGAAGCCTCATAGTGTAACTCAAATTCTAAGCATAAAATGTATTATCTCAGTATTTCCTGGTTTTCTGGGATGGGAAGATTGCATCCCTCAAATGTCATAATGTTGAGACCAACATAAGCTCACCAAGTTGCTCATTAAATCATCTCTTTCTCTCTCTACACACACACACTCACACACACATACATACATATATATATATATATATATTTCATTTTCTTCAAAATCACCACCAACTTCTTCATTACCATTAAAAATAACACTCTCCAACTCGGACTCATGATAAATTAACAATCTCAAGCAGCCCAACGCCTTCAAGAATATCAAATAAGTCTCCAACGGTGTTCCATATTTTTTATTCTCCTCTACAATAACTATTTAATTTTCTTGATAAAAGATGAATGAAAATCAATTCTTCAACTCATTGTGGAGTTATTTTATTCATTTTCATAGAATACACAAATGAGTAAGTTCTCCATGTTAATAAATAAATAATATTTATTTTTCAATAAGTTGTTATTAATATTAATATTAATAATAATAATAATTAGCAAAAAAGGGCATCTTTGTCAGAAATAATATAATAAGTATTAAAGAGTTCAAAATCAATAAAACTCTTCTCCGTCACATTTTCTAAGGTATCCGATACGCATCGAAAATATAAAATAATTAAAAATAAGTATCCGGTATGTATTGAAGAGTGTTCAAGCGCATCAAATTAGGATGCATATCAGACGGGTACGCAATAAGTTTACAAACATCCGTGCTTCTTAGCATATCATTATAGACATTATTAGCTTTGTAAACCACATAAAGAACTTGAGATTAACCAACGGAACATTTTCCTTCCTGCAACAAGTTTGGCCTCTTATAGAGAGAGTTAAATCTGACGATTCTATTATATAAAGTAGTCTCGTCATCACCCCCGGGCAATACCTTGAGAAAAACTAAAGGAAGGAAAAAAATAAAAATAATAATAATAATAATAATAATAATAATAAAATAAAAAATCGTTGATGAAGACAGAGAGAAAAAAGCAGTCAATTAAACACCTTGAGTGTATGTCACATAGATCTTATGTTCAACTCTGTAACATACGAATTCTACCCACCACCCACCAGCCCAAAAATTTATCCCCACCGCCCCCACCAATAAAAATTTTAAAAACAAAAAAGTGTGCGCCAAAAAAAACAGAGAAAACATGATAGAAAAATGGAAGATCAGGTAAGAAAGGTACAGGGAGGAAGAGAAGCTCACATTTGGACCACGAATACAAGAAGTGATATTCAAGGATGGATTTGCCTCAAAGCCCAAAAACACACAAGCAGTCAATAAAGGATTAACCTGAAGCAAAAGATGTCAATAATTTTGGGCTGCCTCACATTATTCTTGGCCTAGTGGGCCTCTTTAAATTGGGCCAAATCGCTCCACCGGGTTGCTGTGTTTTCAAGGGTGATAAAACGTGTTTTGTAAAATACACCTCTTTAAGAATTAAAGATCAGCCGTACACGTGGCTGCTCCTCTGCCCTCTGATTGTGTCAATTAGTATGGATACATACACATTGGGTCTTGGCATTATTGGATATTCTAGAGAATTCTTTGAGGCTCTTCGTCTTGCTCTCTCTCTTCCCTTTTCTGAGTGAAAACTAGGGTTTGGCTACTGTAATGTGAAATTGATCTTTGTGATTGATAATGTTTCTGTTCTTTGTGTAGAGAGACGATTGTTTTGTACAATCTGTGAGAATGAAAGCATTTGTGTTGTTGTGTCTAGGAGGCAAGAAAAACTCGAAGAAATTGGAAATTTCTTCATACATTTGTATGCTGTTTTTTGTTCGTTATTAGTGGATCTGTAGCCTAATCTCTTGAGAAATGCTCAACGGGTGATTTGGTTGAAAAACCAAACATCCGGACCCTTTTAAAAGGGTAAAACATATTTGGTGTTATTTTTCTTATTTTCTGCATTTTATTAATTTTTAGTCGATCGATCCTTAAAGTTTTAAAGTTCAAAACGTAACAGTAGTATCAGAGCCGGTTTCTTTTTCTTTTCTTTTTTTTTTTTGTTTCTATCGAATTTCTGATCTATTCTTTTGAAACCCTAGGTTTCAATTTTTTGTTAAAAAAATTTTTGTAATCTGAAATCCCTTTTTTGTTAACTATTTTGAGTACAAAACTAGTGTTTAAAGAAACGATACCTTTCTTTAGATTTAATCTGTTGGTCTCTTTGAAGAAAACTGACAATCAATCTTCAAATCTGCTCTTCTCTATTGTTTGTTCTGAATTTTTGAGTTGACTCATAACTGAGTTCAACTGGGTGTTCTAACTCGTACTGAATTTGGCGAGTTGAGTTGACTAGCTCCGGTTCCTAATGAGTTGACTCCGAGTTTTGGAAACACATTGATCTGTGCACAGTACATTGCCACCTGGTTCAATTCCTGGCTTAAGTATGCTCACTCCTAAACTAAAATTCTAAGATTTCAGCATCTAGTATAATTTTGGAGCCCCTCTTTTCATTTACCCAGTGTTCTTGTTAATCTTGAAGCTTGTAATTAAGGTGGTCAATTCAGAAATAAATTGTTTTGTTGTTCACCTTATCTGCCTAAATCATTCACACTACATACTGCATAATTGCATGCTATTCAATTATATTTGTCATCATGTCTACTACATATAAGTTAGTTATAGAGACATGGAATGGCACTTGAGATTTTACTCTCTAGCACCAGAAGATGAGAGCCCTCTTACTGCAGTAAAGATGTGCTGTCGCCCTTGATGGGTCATGGGTTGTTGAAATTAGTGCATATAGGAGGAAAGAATTAGATGACGTTGCATGGAGTACTATTTTTCTTCATCTATCTAACAATGTGATTAGAAAAGTAGGAGAAACTGCCTCTGCAGAAGTAACTAAATCCATGCCTAATAAATGTTATCTCTTAAGGCAATTTTACAATTTCAGATTCGATCCCTCTTCTAGCCTAGAAGAAAATCTAGATAAATTCACTAAGCTAATTCAGGATTTAGATAACTGTGATGGGGAGATTTCAAGTGACCAACAAGTAGTTGTTTTATTAAACTCTCAGTGAGAGATATAAAGACATTAGGAATGCTTTAGAATATGGGGGGCAAACTCTTACAGTAGATATCATAATTGCAGCCCTTAGAAATAAGGAACTTGAAATAAAAACTGAGTCAAAAGACTCTAAGTTTGGTGAAGGGCTATATATGAAAGAGAAATTGAACCAGAATAAGAAACAGATCCAGTACAATTTTAATTCTACAAAGAAAGGAAAATTTCAGAACAATAAAAATAAAGATAAGAACAAAAACCATGTGAAACCAAAGAACCAAATCAGAAAATGCTACTACTGTAGCAAAACTGGACACTTAATAAAGAATTGCTTTAAAAAAATCTCATATTTGAAAGATAAAAACAACACTAATGGTTCTGCAGCAGTAGCCTGCAATAATGAACCTGATATTCAGGGGGTGGTTCCTGTGAACACCCCAAGGAGGGATTCAAAAGAATGGATCCTAGACTCTGGTTGTACTTTTCACATGTGCCCTACTAAAGAGTGGTTTTCTGAGTTTGTTAACCTCAATGGAAGACAAATTTAGATAGGCAATGACATGAGTTGTCAAATAAAGGGTATTGGGAAGGTAAAATTGATGTTAACTGACAATTATACCCTTGAATTAGAAAATGCTAAATATGTTCCTGAACTTAAAAGGAATCTTATCTTCTTAGGAGAATTGGATGAAAAATACAACATCACAATACACAAGGGTCTTCTAAGATTAGCTTTAGGGGACATATGTGTTATTTCCTCTTCAAAAATAAATGGTATCTACATTATTCCTACTGAACCAGTAATAAGCCATTGTACCACAGCCTCAAATCATGTTTCTGATAAATCCTTAATTTGGCATAAAAGATTGGGGCACATTTCAAAGAAAGGTTTAATCATTTTAAATAAACTTTGATGTTTTGGAAAAGATAATATTGAAAATTAGACTTTTGTGAAAATTGTATTGTTGGAAAACAGAAAAGACTGCCTTTTAAAAATGGAATCCATAAATCCACTTCAATCTTTGATTACTTACATGCTGACCTGTGGGGTCCAGCATCAGTAAATACACTTAGTGGATTTAGGTTTTATCTACTTATAGTAGAATACTTTTCAAGAAAAATATGGACTTTTCTCTTAAAACAAAAGTCAGATACCTTTCAGATTTTCAAACAATGGAAGTCTATGATTGAACATCAAACGAACAAGAAAATCAAAGCACTAAGGACTGATAATGGACTTGAATTTTGCAACTTTGAATTTAATTCATTTTGTAAAGAATTTGGAATTCTTAAACATAGAACTATAACATACACACCTCAACAAAATGTAGTTGCCGAGAGAATGAATATGACTCTTTTGAAAAAAGTTAGATGTATGTTATACAGTTCTGGTCTTCCAAAGTTTTTCTGGGGTGAAGTCCTAAATACTGCAACTTATCTTATAAATAGAAGTCCATCTAGTGTTATTGATTGTCAAGTCCCTGAAAAGTTGTGATCTGAAAAAACACCTGATTATAAGAAACTCAAAGTGTTTGGATGTGTTGCCTATTCTCATAAGAATGAAGGCAAACTTGAGCTTAGATCCCAAAAATGTATTTTCTTGGGATATGGAGAGGAAACAAGAGGTTATATGTTGTGGGTTAAAGACCAAAATGGTTTTAAAGTCATAATAAGCAGAGATGTGATCTTTAATGAGAATGACATGCCCTGTATCAAATCTGGAGGCCCTAAAACTCTTGAATAAGCACCTACTAAACAAACCATCATGGAAACTCAAATACAGAATGCTGAAAATCAAGATGATAATTTTGAGGTAGAGCCTATTCAATCTGAAATAAGTAATGAGCATGATGAATCTGAAAATGAAGATGAAACATCAGATACTAGTCTTACTAATTACCAATTAACTAGAGATAGGGAAAGGAGAAGTATAATTCCCTCCCGCAGGTTTAATAGTGAAGAATTTTGTCAATCTATTTTCTGCACTTGACTCCTTTAATTCAGAACCTACATCCTTTGATGAAGCCATTAAATGTCCTGATTCTAAGCTTTGGAAGGAAGCTATGAATGAGGAAATGGATTCACTTATTAAAAACAAAGCTTGGATTTTAGTCAATAGACCTAAAAATCAAAAGATTGTAGATTGTAAATGGATTTTTAAGATAAAAGAAGGAGACTCAAATTCAGAAAATAAGAGATATAAGGCCAGGCTAGTGGCCAAAGGTTTCACTCAAAGGGAATGGGTGGATTACAATGAAAAATTTTCCCCAATTGCCAAATATACTACAATCAGAATCCTATTGGCTCTAACTGCTCAGTTTAACTGGGAATTAGAACAACTTGATGTTAAAACAACATTTCTGAATGGTGAACTTGATGAGACTATATATATGAATTAGCCTGAAGGATTTGAAGTCAAACCTAGATCAGATAAAGTTTGCTTGTTAAAGAAATCACTTTATGGGCTTAAACAAGCCCCCAGGTAATGGTATTTGAAGTTTAATTCTTCTGTGCAAACTTTAGGTTTTGTGAAAAGCAACTATGATTCATGTCTGTTCTACAAAGGTTCAGGTGGACCTGAATCTATATATCTCCTATTGTATGTTGATGATATGTTGCTTGCTTGTCATGATAAAACTGAGATTGAATTAAATCGAAGTTAAAATCTGAATTCGAAATGAAAGATTTAGGACTAGCTAAAAGAATTCTTGGAATGGAGATAGATAGAGACAGGAACAACTACATATTAATGCTAAAACAAGGGTCTTATGTGAAGAAAATTCTTGAAAAATTTTCTATGTTAGAATGTAAACCTGTCACTCTTCCAATTGCTAATCATTTTAAGTTGTCCAATGA